GATCGAGCAACCGAATTTTTTCAAAGTTGGTGCCACACAGTTCTTCACACTAATTTTAATTTTGAAAAAATAAACTAATTCGGTTTGCAAAAGGATCAAATTCATCTTCAATAGAAAGTTGCAGAATAACAAATTAATTAAATAAAATGGCTATTACAATATCCCAAGCTAGATATCCAATTGGAGTGATTTTTGGAATAAGGTGAAAAGTAAAACTAATTCGGTTTGCAAAAGGATCAAATTCATCTTCAATAGAAAGTGCAACAACATTTCTTGACCTATCTAGTATTTGGACTTATTTTGGAATAAGGTGAAAAGCATTTATGGACAAGTTATGACCTCAGTACACGTGTGAAGGAAGTTTCAAAAATTAATCGAAAATGCAGTGAAGTTCTAAAAGATTAACCGAAAATGTGGTGGAGGAAGTTCTAAAAAATTATCCTTGTTCATCTCCAGCGCCTATCTATCTTAACCATTGTGCAATGAAGCCTCTATTCTTCTTCTCTCACAAGTGCTATAGTTATCTTCTCCCCCTTTTTTTATTGCAATTCACCCAGTCGGTCCTTTCATTTTGATTTGTTAAGAGGCCAACCATCAGCACTGATAGCATTTGGAGACTTCTACCTCTCAATGAATTCTCTCTCTCTATTGTTGCTGACTAGAGTTCTCAACTAAGCAAGGCTAACATGTGGCTAGGGTTTCTACGTGAAATCAAAACAAAGGCAATCAGTAGTGAAGGAGGAAGATTTTGGTGGCATTGAAGGGACAGTCGCCGCAATGATCATCACAGCCAGAGAGGATGAACAAAGCAAATACTTTTGCATTTTGATCCCTCAAAATTTATTTACTCTCTCAATGTAGTCCCTACTGCTGTCAAATTTTCATCCTAACCTCTAAATTTTGAATTTTTTTACTTTAACTCTTGTTAGAAATCATAGAACTTAATTCTATTGAATTGGATCTTCATTTTTAATTAATTTAAAATGGAAATATAATTATAGTTTGAAAATAAAAAAAAATAAACATAAAAAATATCTTCATAAACCAAACATGCCCTAAGGGTACTATATCTTAATTTAGCTTCAAGTTTCATTGCTTGGTAGCTTCTTGAAAAACCAGGACCCAAGGTCGGAGATGGAAGCTTCAGTTGACTTTATATGTTTGGTATCTCAGTGGCCAATACTTTCAATCACATCTTTTAGGTTATAAAATTTCTGCAATTATTATTATTTTTTTACATTTGTAGACCGGGCCCTCAACTCAAGGTTAATCTTCATTTTTATACCATCTGTAAATAAATCTCAATAAATAAAGCGGCTGCAAGAAACTCTCAAAAACAATGAGAAAATATTAGAAAAATTATCTAGCCAATCAACTTGGTAAAATTTATTACTTAAGAAAGTCAATATCAAAAATATTGATCTTCAAAATTTGAAATAAAAAATTAATTCACAAGATAATTTAATTTCCTAAAATACCCTTCTATACTTTTTAACACCCAAATTATAAATATAAATTTATAAAAATATCATTATATTTTTGTAAAATTACAAATATTAATCTATAATATTAAAACATATTTTTATAAAACTATAACTGTAAATTATATCTATATATATAATTTACAAACATAAATTTATAAAACTATAACAACATTTTTGTAAAATTAAAAATATATTTATAATTTTACTGAAAAAGCATTATAATTTATAAATGTACTTTTACAAAAGTATATTTATAATTTTATAAATATATACTTGTAATTTTACAAATTTACATTTATAATTTAAGCATAAAAAAGTATAAAAATATATTTTAAAAAATCAAATTATCTTCTAAATCAATATCTTTTGTTTTAAGCTTTCCAAGTTAATATTTTTAATATTAATCCTCCATATGATAAATTTTACTAAACTAACTAGTTTAAATTTTCCCAGAAATATTCCCACCAATACCGTTAACCAAAAGTCATCGTCAAAATTTCTACAACTGATTTCCTCCAAGGTAAGGGTCTTGAACTATCAAAAAATTAATTCTTCCGCATTTTTACTTTTTTGCGTGGAAAATAAATTAAAAATGTGGCAAAACAAATCATAAAACTCAGAAAAATTGCGATTAGAGTCAACGGAAACATTAAATAGAACGCACAACCTGGCCGTGTTTAAGAGAACACACCCGTGGAGAGAGAAATAAAAGAGTACATTAACGAGAAAATTAAAATATAAATCATAAACCTTTCTTGCCTCATCATTGACTGATCAAGACGGCCTGAAGAGAAGCTCCGACTCTAACTCAAAAAAGTTAAGACGGTTAGCCCTGCACCCATATACAGCCAAACTCTGCCTCTTCAAGGCTAAGAGACTGGTTCCATAGTAACAGCACCCACAAATACTGGAATCTAAACCTCGCTATCCAACAACTGCTAAACTCAGCGCCGCACTGATCTTCCACGGCTATTCTAAAAGACAAATTTCGATTTAACAACCTGTCCAAGCATTTTCTCAGAAATTTCACGTGGACAGTCTCCCTCTATCTTCTAAGAGAAGCAAAGAAATTGATTGCCCTTTTCCTTGTGTCTGGAGAGGTTCCTTTCTGTGTCCTTGGTACTGTGTCAGAAAGCAAACATCATTAACTCACACCAGTTTTACCGCACAGTCTTATATTTGAAGTTTTAAGAACATTTTAGAGCACTAGAGCAGTTGTAGCAGGACTAGCCTTGTTCACAGAAAATATAACTCAAGAAACTGCAATTTTATATAAATTTGAAAACAGTAGATTTTTTATGCAGAAAGGACATGCGGATTGCCAGTTCTAAGTTTTTCTTTGCAAGAAACTCGCCCCTGCAAGCCAAGTCATGAAGCTATCAGTGCTTGCTACTATGGTTGGACAATGACATCATTAATGATTCTGTGAGTAGTTTTCATTCCTGTAAGATGGACACAACAACAAAACCACGAAGAAGATTCGATCACACCCTAAAAGCAAGCGCATCAAACAATAAAGAAGAATCACTGGATTCACGCATGGCTAATCAAGTGGTTCAAGTATCATCCCTTGATTGCCATGGAGGTCATGAGAGCAAGGGTAAGGCATTGGTGTATGCCAGTAAAGTGGAGCAACTACATGACAGATTGAGAACTCTAGAGCAAGAAACTGAAATTATGAAGCAAGCTTTCTTCAAAGCCATGGAAGAAAGGAAGAAACTGAAGAACGAAATATATCAGCAATTTCAGGTCATACACCATTGTATAAGCTCTGTAAAGCAAGTAAGAGGACATGAATCCATGGACGGAGTTCTGATTGACATTTCTCACAAGGTACTTTATTTGAACATTGTTATATAAACCCAACAAAATCATTCTCCACCTAAGTCTTGAGAAATCGCATATTAGAAGCAATTTAACAGAAAACACGACAGCTACTTATGAACTTATAACAGGATGTGGTTTTGAAGAAGCTAAGAAATTTTCATATAGAAGAGTAATAGTAAGTTTCAAAATTTTGCAAGTACACTGATTAATTTAAATGTCTTGACCCCTTATTTAACATATGGATGCTTAAGAATTGATAAAGGAAATTGACAACAATGATGGTGGCCTGTTATCTGTGCATGGTTTCCATCCAATCCATGCATATAACTTCAGGTGGGTACTCTTCCAAGTCCCAAATATGACGCTCAAATTATGATGATCTTATCAGTTGATTTAAATTTGTGCCCATTTCTTATTCTAACTTATATGTGATTTACACCATGTACATATAGAATGGAGTAGCAGGGACGGGTCTGTCACAGGTTTTACACCAGCAATCCAATCCATTGCTTGTCATCAGGGATCTAAGGGCCACTATTACAGTTCTTAAGGAACCTGCTGATAGCTGAGTATTTTTCTAGTAGGTGGTAGGTGCCATGGGGAAGCAGGTCCATGGACAACAACTTTTATTTGTTTTCTTGAATTTTTGTAATTAATTATTGCTTAACTGAAGGCAAATTTAACCACCACCATTTCCTCTCCCCCCCCCCCCCCAAAAAAAAAAAAAAAGAAAAGGCTAAGAAGAAGAAGATAAAGAAGGGACAAACTATATCTCTTCATTCATAATTTGTAGAGCCTTGTGTTTCCTGAGTAACCTTCAATCCAGATTTTCTAGTCATTTTGGCAAATCCATGGCAGCTCCTCATAAAGCTCGGTGCATGTGACGTGATATACTAGAACAGTCATATATTTAATATTCCCTAGCCAGATAGGCCAATGGCATCTCTATTGGCCAAGCAAGAGAATTCATTGATGAGATTATGTGAATATTCTCTCTTCAGTTAGAGATTGTACAGTTTTCCGTATTATAAGATTTAGTGATCTGTTGAGATTATGTGATATTGTATAGTTTACCATATTAGGTTAGGTGATTTGACTGCATAATTAGGAGATTTGATTTGTTTTTCCTTTTTCTTGTATTCATGAATCGGTATATTATCATTCTATTGAGGATTAAACCTCTTATACAATATACAAAATTCTTATTCCAAGTTTCCTAAGTAGTTTCTCAAGTATCATATACAACCAATATTCATCTTCTGTTATATCTAGCAAGCAGCAAATATTTAGGAGACGAGGTGGTTAAATCACCTAGAAAACACATAGGTTTGGACATATGTGCCTTGTCATAGAAAACAAGTAGAATTACGGATAAATATTTAACAAGTACTTTAATTTCTAGATGTTTTTCATGCAAAATGCGGTGACATGATAGACAACTGATTGATTTAACCACATGTTGGAAAATTGAGTTTTTTTCCCCTTACTCTGCCTGTATTGGGTCCATAAATTTCATTAGTATAAAACTAGTTGTTACCTTTCTCTTTTGCTTAAAAGGTAGAGAAACTGCATCTTGAAACTGCTCCTCGCATCTTATGATATTCATACAAAGGACTTGGAAAGATGGGATAATCTAATTAAAATTCAAAACAGATCAAGCAAACAATTCAGAGTCATGGAATCAAGTCATCCCCAGTCTATACTACACCTAATGTCAACAAAAAAAGTAATAGAATCAAAGGCAAAATCTTTATCAACTTGTCCAATAATATAGAATAGACATACCAGAGTGGTACTTCTATGAAACCATATTACATTTCCCCTCTATAACCTCCTGATCCAAAATAGTCCCTCCTTGAGCTAGCAATAGCTTGGCTTTTCTGATGCTCTAACTTGGGACAATCACGTATTCGGTGGCCAAGTCCGCCACAGTAAGCACATCCTTTAACTCCACTAGCACTGATGATGGCATCAACATCATCCATTGGATCGTTAAGCTCAGCTAGGACAGGAGGAATTCTCTGCTTTGCTTCTTGCAACAAGTGCTTCAAATCAAGAAGTGTTGTCTCACTCTGATTCTTGTTAATGAAGGTTGTAGCTATTCCAGTTTTGCCACATCTTCCAGTTCGTCCAATCCTATGGACGTAGTTCTCAATTTCAGCAGGCATGTCATAATTGATAACATGCTGAATGTCAGGAAATCCAAACCCTTTGAAGCAACATCTGTAGCAACCAGGACATCTTTCTTGCCTGCTTTGAAGGTTGAAATGGCATATTCTCTCTCCTCTTGATCCTTGCCTCCATGAATTGCAACAGCTTCAACTCCTTTCAAAAGAAGATATTCATGAATATCATCCACATCAGCTTTATTCTCACAGAATATTAGAACTGGAGGTGGGGTCTTTTGCAAGCACTCAAGAAGGTACACAATCTTTGCCTCTTGTTTCACATACTCCACCTCTTGGATCACATCAAGATTTGCTGCTCCAGCCCTTCCCACATTAACAGTAACAGGCTTAACTAAAGCACTTCTAGCAAAATTTTGAATCTTCTTGGGCATGGTGGCAGAAAATAGAAGGGTCTGTCTTTGAGCTTTGAAATGGTCAAACACTTCTCTTATGTCATCTTCAAAACCTAGATCCACCAATCTATCTGCCTCGTCAAGAGTCAAATACCTGTAGGAGATGGAACGCTTCAAGAGACAAAATGAAGAAAGGAAATTGAACACAATTCATCATCAAGTAAAACAACAAATATAAAGCTCTTCATCATATTGAGCATGATGACAATCCCAGTAAACAGTGTGCAATCCCATATCATACAAATTTTCACTGGAAATCAGTCTTAACTTTATCATTTATTGCTTATGATTACAAAATAAAAATTATACTAAAAGAAAGCAAATTGTATTGCTAAATGCTTCAACTACACAACATGGTTGATAATTGAGGCAAAGTAGAAATAGACTGTCAGGTATTATTTTCAAAACTAGCTTTCTGTTTAAATCGGCACTGACAACTTGTTTAGAAAATTGTTCTTAACAGTTCTTCCAGAAACAATTTGCAGAGAACAACAAAGAAATGTTTACAGAATTCTTCTATCCTGTTTTCAATTGACAAACAAAAATTATAAGAAAACAATAGAGGTTTCTGAGTTTTCCATGTTTCCAGTTTCTCAAAATCATCCCAAAAAAAATGAAAAGCTAAAAAGGAAAGGAAAAAGAACAATTCCAAATACAAAAACTTGTGACCATGTCTGAGTCGAGGCACATTGTGATGCAATTACAAGTAGCGAGGCAAAAAATTAGGATTCAGAAATGAGTTAAATGATGAATTTCTTTCTAAGTTGAATAGTCAGATAATTTTATTTGTTTGCTTATTAATTAGGAACCTCTCTTCAAGGTGTGTGCTTGCAAGCACCTTGTCATCAGGACCTCAGGTTGTTAGCTTTTTGTAGTAGTGCCTGCATCTTTGACACACATGCTTATTTGTATTTCCTAGTTGTATCCTCTAACATAGATATATATGTGTATATATTGTAATTTTTCATTTCTTGGTGCTTCACTATTAAGTAATCTTCTCAACCACATGTATATAGGACTGTAAATCTTTTGGAGAAGGTCCTTTAAAACGAGTCTTGAAGTTATCATGTATATTCCTTGCTGTTTCCTACATCGCATTTTATGCATGAAGAAATCCCATTGTTCTCTACACCAAACAAGCAATTCTATATTATTAGAAGGGATGTAAGTATGAGAAGACACAGGGAAAATTCATAAGGTCTAACAAGTTATCTTTCTAACCAATTCTTTTAATTCACGCTATAATTAATTGAAACAGTCAAATTCACCACCACCCCCCCTCCCATTTTTTTTTTTTTCTTTTTTTTGGTGGGGGGAGGGGGGGGGGGGGTTGGTTGGAAGGGTGGCAGCTATGAAATTTCTAAGTTACTACACATCAATGCAATTTGTAGTGGCAACATAAAAGATGGGAAATAATGTATTCAACATAATTTTTAACAAAATTGGATCAAGAAGCAATTACCTGCAATTATTAAGGTTCATCTTCTTCTTTGCAAGCATGTCCTTCAACCTACCAGGGGTGGCAACAACTATATGCACACCCTTCTTAACAACCTCCAACTGTAACCGCATGTCTACACCACCAATGCAAAGCAATGGTCTCAGCTCTGGAAAGCCATACTCCTCAAGGGAATCAAAAATTGCTCCACAACCTCGTAAGTCTGCCTAGCAAGTTCTCTAGATGGGCAAATTATCAATCCAAATGGCCCTTCTCCAGGAATTATTGGCATCATCATTTCTTCTTGCAATGCCACCATTATTAATGGTAGCACAAAGACCAATGTTTTCCCAGAACCTGTAAATGCAATCCCTATCATATCCCTTCCTGACAAGATAACAGGAAGTCCCTGAACTTGAATAGGTGTTGGTTTTATAATTCCTTTAGCTTTCAACTTGTTCAGGATTGGCTCAGGAAACTTCATATCCTTGAAATTTTTGATTGGTGGGGGGATATCATCACCGTCAACTATTATGTGCCATTGCTTCCGAATGGAATCACACTCATTTCTCGACATCCTTCTAATCCGCAGAGGAGGCTTCCATCCTGTGAACAGTGGCTCTGTATAAATTATTCCTTTCGCAAGTTCACGGACAGACATCAATGTTTTCCTGTCTGACAAGTGTTCAATCATTTCTTTCTCCTGTTGGACAATCTGTTCAGTGGGACTGATCTCTGGCTGGTCCCGCTTAAGCTGGGAAGCCTTAACAAGTAAACTGGGTTTTGCCTCGGCAAGTTTTGCTTTCTCTGTTTCATCCTCAAACGCAGAAGATTTTCCTTTGCGCTGGAGAATCTTTTGTGCTTCCATGGCTCTCCGCTTGGCCACAGAAACATATTCCACATAGTCATCATCTTCCTCCATTTCTTACAATAATCAATGACTGTCAACTGAGATCTGAGATGTCAATAGAAGATCCCAATCTCTGTTTCTCATAAATCAAGAGAAAATATAACTCAAAGTTACTAACGAATTAAATATAAAGAAATTACAATGAAAAAAAATCAAAAGATCAGAATTGGGTCAAATGCAGTGACATTTGTAACAGTTGAAGCTCTATAAATAAGAGTACTTAGTTGAATTCCATTAATTTATACTAGAACAGGAAGGACGAGAAGACAGTTGCAAAAGGCCCACTTGGCCTAAACCGCATACTGTGCCACTAAGCATATAAATAATAGGCAAAATTCCATAGTTAGTCCTGTAAGTTTGTCTGTGAGCCATATTTAGTCCTGTAAATTTTGGCTTAGTCCCATAACTTTTTCAATTCTCCACATTTGGTCATGTAAGTATTAACTCCACAATTTTAATCCTACAACTTTTCTCATTACCCACATTTGGCCCTGCTGACCACCAGATCATCAATTCTTCCCAAAGAAAATGAATTATATGCCTTAAATCACTAGTAAAAAGTGATTGTTGGTATCAAGTATAGGTTACAACCATGGCTCAAACATGCAAGACTTATTAGTCCTTCTTTTGTAATTTTGCAACTAAAGACAAGGTAAAATAATAATAATAATAATAATAATAAAATCTTAAACTATATGCAATAACTGAATCATATTAACAGAAAATGATGCCCATCAGTTAAGAAAATATTGCTTAAATAAAATTCTCAACAAGAAGTTTGTCTCAAGTAAAATTAAAAGAATCCATTTAAACCATAAAGACAAAAATGAAATAAGACATGTACTAACACATTCTGGAAAATATTCTTTTTACTCTTGGGCAAGATATGTACTAACCCAACAAATAAATTTCAGTGCCCACACCACAATAGCAGACCATTCTTTGGTCTCTCCCCAATAAGTGCTAGAGTTGATGTGTATTTCAAAATCTCACAATATCATATAACAGTCCAACTAAAATAATTGAGTAGCTTGGAATACTTGATTAGGGTATAATCTCAAAATTAATTATGCCAAGAGAATATCATTTTTACAATTACAACCTAGCTAGCAACTAATCAGGTAAAAAACTTTCTAGACAAGTATTTAGGCTACTATTTTGCTCAGGTGAGACATCTGGACAAGTTTTTTTTTTTTTTTTAAATCTATAATTTTTATGATAACTTCTTTCCAACTCCATGAAAAAATTTATTACATGTATAGTTGTCTTAACATATGAGTATAATACACACATAAACATAGAGTGAGATGAATGCACATGTACCATATAAACACATTTATATTTCCACCATTATGCTTGTTTTACTTATGAATAGACACCCCATCTCAGTTTATTTAGTCAGAATTGGATGAATCAGACACTCGTCTCACTGGATCCATATTTATTTAGTGAGAACTGATGGTCTGGTGGTGGGATAAGGGATTTGAACTTATTTCCAAGGCCCTACTGCAAGTTATCCTGCATTAGTTCTTCATCTTGTCAGTTTTCCTCGTGCCCCAGGGACTACAAAATTTTGTTTTGTTGTTTGTGCCACAAAAGCTGTCATATGTTTTGTTGTAGTTTGTTACTGCAGTGCTAGGACTTGTGTCTCTAGCATATTTAGTGAAATTTATTTGTTGGGTTCTTACATGTCTTGTCTAAGATTACAGAATATTTTTCAGAATATAGGTCAGTGCATGTCTTATTTCACCTTTATCTTTATAGTTTAAATGGAGTTTTTCATTTTACTTGAGACAAAACTTCTTATTGATAATTTTATTTAAGCAATAGTTTCTTAACTCATGAACATCTTTTTCTGTTAATATGATTCAGTTATAGTATATTAATTAACAATGTGTTGAGAGAAAACCGTAGAAAAGCCTAAATTATGTGAATAAGTCAGTGTATTAACACTGTTATCAGAATCTGTATTTATAATATTGAATGACATACAAGGAAAGAGAATATACAAATAAGAAAAGAAAAAAAAATGAAAATCAATAAGAATATTCATAATGATATACCCCTATTGTGTATTCCTAATCTATCTATATGCATATTTCTACACCATCCCTCAAGCTGGAGCATACAAGTCATATGCACCAAACTTGTTATATAAATATGTAATCCGAGATCCCCTGAGTGACTTAGTGAATATATGAGCTAACTGATAATTGTAATTTACAAATCTAATAGCAATGCATTCAAACTAAATCTTTTCTCTGATGAAGTGACAGTCTACTTCTATGTGTTTGGTCCTTTCATGAAACACTGGATTAGAGGCAATGTATAAGACAACTTGATTATCACAGATGAATTGCATTTGCTTAATATCTTCAAATTTCAATTCTTGGAGCAATTGTTTAAACTATATAAGTTCACATATTGTCAATGCCATGATACGATACTCAACTTCTGCATTTGACCTAGCAACCACATAATGCTTCTTACTTTTTCAAGAAATCAAGTTGCCTCCAAACATTATACAATAGCTTGAAGTCAATCGTCTATTTGAGAGTGATCCACCCCAATCTACATCTGAGTAACCAATGATTTGAAAATGACCTTTGTCCTCATAGAGGAGTCCTTGGCCATGTGCTCCTTTGATACATTTAAGAATTCAGATTGCAACATCCCAATGATTGTCACATGGAGACTATAGAAACTGATTGACTACACTTACAGCAAATGAAATGTCTGGACAAGTTATGGTAAGGTAGTTCAATTTTCCAACAAGTCTCTGATACCATCCAGGATCTAACAAAGGCTCTTCCTATCCTAGTAGAAGTTTGATGTCAAGATCCATAAAGGTGTCTACATGCTAACAATCTATCAAGCCAGTCTCTTTTAAGATATCAAGAGTATACTTTCTTTAAGAAATAACAATACCAGTTAATGACTGAGCTACCTCAATACCAAGAAAATACTTTAGTTGACCTAAATTCTTGGTCTGAAAGTGACACAAGAGATGTTGTTTTAATTGACTGATACCTTCTTCATCATCTCCTATGATAAGGATGTCATCTATATACACCACAAGATAAATGCTTTTATTGGATGAAGAATGGCAATAAAAGACAGAATGGTTTACCTCACTGCGAATCATACCAAACTGCTGAACTACTGAACTAAATCGCCCAAACCATGCTCGTGGAGACTATTTTAAGCCATAAATGGATCAGTGTAAATGACATACTAAGCCAAACTCCCCATGAGCAACAAAACTAGGAGGTTGCTCCATATAGACTTCCTCGGCAAGCTCACCATGTAAGAATGTGTTCTTGCTATCAAGTTGGAAAAGAGGCCAATGTCGCACGGCAGCCATGGAGAGAAGAAGACAAACAGAGGTAGTCTTAGCAACAGGAGAGAAAGCGTCGCCATAATCCAACCATAAATCTATGTATAACCCTTGGCTACAAGCCAGGCTTTCAACCAATCAATTTGCCCACTAGGTTCAACCTTCACAGTATAAACCCATCGATACCAATGGTGGACTTGCCAGGAGAAAAGGGAATAAGGTCCCAAGTGCCACTAGAATGCAAGGTAGCCATTTCATTGATCATAGCTTGTTGCCAATCAAGACGGGATAAAGCCTCACCTATATTTTTAGGAATAGGGACAGATGACAAGGAAGTAACAACAACAAGATACGGAGAAAAGAAGCGACAGTAACTCAAAAAAGTAAAAATAGGATGAGAATTCCGAGTAGAGCAAGTACCTTTGCGAAGAGCAATAGGAGGACCATCTAGAGGAAAAACCAAGGGTGATAAAGGCATAGGATTTGGACAAGAACCTGCAGGGACATCAGCAGAAGAGTCAGGGCGCGGTCAACGTGAATAAGTTTGAAAAAGACAAGCAGAAGCAACTTCAACAAGAGGTCTAAGTAAAGTAACTGGAAGAACGTCAAACATAGATGAGCTTTAAAGTGAAAAGGAGTAAAATGAAGACTCCTTGAAGAAAATAACATCTATAGAAATGATATAGTGATTGCTATCAGGATGATAACAATGATAGCCTCTCTAAAGACAAGAGTAGCCAAGGAATATGCATTTAAGAGATTTTGGGTGAAGTTTGTCCTATCCTAGGGCTAGATTATGAACAAAACAAACACAACCAAAAATACAAGGAGGAAGAGAATATAATAGAGTAGATAGGAATAACAAAGAGACTAGAGTTTGACTTTGTAACACAAAAGAAGACATACGATTGATTGGGTAACAGGCAATAAGAACAGTGTCACCCCAAAAATGTAAAGGAACATGATTGTGAAGAAGTAAAGTGCGTGCCATTTCAATGAGATGTTGATTCTTACGTTCAACAACACCATTTTACTGAGGTATGTGGACACATGAAGATTGGTGCAGAATACCCTGCGAAGACATAAAGGAAATGAAAGATGAAGACAAGTATTCACAGGCATTATCACTATGTAAAGTGCAAATAGAGGTATGAAATTGATTACGAATCTCAGCACAAAATGTTTGAAAAATCGAAAAAACCTCAGCACGACTTTTTATTAAAACAACCAAGTCTATCAAGAAAAATCATCAATAAATATGATAAAATACTATAAACTAAAGCTATAGCAATACAACTAGAACACCATATGTCTATATGGACTAACTCAAAAAGGGACGCAGCCTGATTACTGACTCCCTTGGGAAACGAATGACTAGTGATGGCAAGGATGACAAACTAAGAACCATCTTCTGAAGCTTGGAGAGACTAGGATGACCTAATCGATTGTGGAGACGAAAGGGTGAAACAACGGATATAAAGACAGCACAAGAAGGCAATGTAAGATGATAGAGCCCCTAAGACTCACGCTCTTTGCCAATCGTTTATCCCGTATCCCAGTCTTGTACAAGAACAGAGGTATAATAAAAAAACAATAGAGTAATTAAGAGAACTAGTTAATTTACTTATAGAAAAAAGATTAAAAGGACAGCCAGGAACATAAAGAACAGAGTCAAGG